GTTGAAAGAAATGTTTAATAAAGTAAACAAATAAATATAAAGCTTTTTTTTGTAAATTTTGATACCCTTTAGACCATAATTGCTTTTTATTTCATAAATTACGGTTTCATATTTTTGTTTTATAATTTCTGCATGCCATCTTACCAGATTTAAACTGATGATCTATAATCCGGCAAAACTGATAATCTGGAATCGCCAAAGTCCCTACGAGTCCAGATTAAAGACTTTTGACTGTATAACGCTGGATCGTTTTGGCATGTTGTTCGCTAAAACAGCTCTCTAATTTTAGTACAATGTTAAAAGTTTTAAGGCCAAGTTTAAAAACCTCTTTTAAGAAGACTTGAAATTAAATACTAAGAACCCTTTTAAAGGAACATGAGTTAAAATAAAGTACAGCCGATTACAACTATAAATACAATATCAGAAAGAGGCAAATAGAGGGAATCCAGGCATCACTGATAGAATCAGACTGACCCTGTCAGTAACATTTGGAGTCTCTGTATCATTTGCTGTCTAGGCCGGGCGTAATCAAGTAATAAATAAAACGATAGATAGAAGTCACTTGGTTCCCATAGCAACGTCTGCTGGGAAAAGGAGAAGCATTGTAACTATTTTTTAAGAGCTAAGCCAAAATATTAACTTTGGGCCATCCTGGACAAATGAAATAATTCAAATTAATATTCATCGAGTATATACAAGACACAGATATTATGTCTTCAAGCTGAAGCAAGGCATTTAGATTTTTTTGCTGCCAATTGGCAACTTAGGCTCACCTTTGGTTTGACTCGGAACGGAGGAGCGCATGTTGGATTTTAAAGCTAGATTTATTACTTCTATGGTTTTTTTTAGTTTTTAGGTCTTTTCTGTACTCTTTTTTTTTTTTTAAGCCCGCACTATATTTAGTGACACACAGCCATTTGTTTAGGACTGTTCAGTGTAATTATGTCAATTCTTAGTTCTTCTTATTAAGGCAATTCATAGTGAATTTCATTTAGATTAAAAGGAACCATCTGCGCGTCGAGGGGGAGAAAAGCGGAATACAGAAAACAATCCAAAGATAAGGCCAAACAGAGAAAACAAATTTCAGCTAAGATGAAAAAATAACTTCACGGAAGAAGTAAACCGTCAGATCCTGCCGCAATTCCGATTGTGCTGAGATTCTAGAGGGAATTAATATTTCTTGCAATTTGCACGACCAAACATGACTCCATATATTATCCCCAAACAATCTACAAGTCAGCATTTGAAAGAATAAACTTCTTCCTCATCGACATCAAACGAATAGCTGGAGGACATGAAACCATGATATAAAGATCTCTTCATTTAGAATGGGAGAGGCGGGCAGCAGAAAGATGAAAAACTAAAAATTTTTGATTTTTGTTGGACGCATGCAATTGGCTGGTCATAGAAAAAAGGAAATGAGCAGGTCACCAACAATCTTTCTTAAGCAGTCAATCAGTATTATTAGCTGGTAAAAATCCGGGAAAACGGTAAACCTCAATCCCATTGAACGTGATGGCAGACATTTGACATGTTATACAGAACATTAGTAAATAATAAAAAGCTTAGATCTTGGTTTACATATTCTAAAAACAAGAATGCAATTTTTTTTTTTTTGTACACCCTGCAAGATTTATCAGAAACATGGTGCTGCCGTTACACCATACACCAGGATTCATTAATTGGAAAAAGTTTTAGCAAGATTAACTGAGCGCGAAGCGTCTGGAATCCACAGAGGTGCATGATTAAGTGGAAAATTCGAGTACAACAAATGAAATCGTGCCAAGGCATCGATCACGACACTAAGCAACTCATTCATACAGAGAAAGAAAAATGGAGAAAAATTCTATATAGTCATGAATGTGATACTATATCTTTCAACAATCTTATCGTTATTTTCTTGGGTTTGATGAAATCCCAAGTAGCCTGTTCACAAAGTGTCCTCGACCTAGTGAAAGAAATTTTCTGAATTTAATCTCTCCGCTTGCCAAACATAATTCAACTCTTAAGTACTAGCACCTAACAAGTCAAAGCACCTAACAAAGGGAAAGGAATCATATTTACCCCATATGTGTCTCGTACAGAAAAAAAATGAGCCAGGTGACTCAATACGTAAAAACGTGGGGTGATTGTGTGAGATAAAGGAAAATTTAATCGATTTCATAGAATTTGGTGGAAAGATAGGAGATTGTATTTCTGAACGCATTGTAGAAAATTAGTGTATTAATTGACACTTGATGGTTTAGATATTGGACAATGTCGGTGTCAGTCTTACGACAACGTGGTCTAAATATGGCTGGCATTTCTAAAAAGTACAAGCTAGAATTACAGAAATGAATAAGCTGGATGAATTTGTGCCATGTTTGGCTCACTCCTCGTATTTTGTCAGTATGCATTCTGCTTCTTCGTACCCGGAAGCAGTTAATCTGTTTGGAATTACTCAGAAAATACTTCCTCTTTTTTGTTGGATGCACTAATCGACAGTATATTATCAAAAAATGTACAAAATACAACTTAAAAGGCAGCAGTCAGATGAGAGGGTCGAAAAAATATGTGGCTGTTAAAGTCCTTTTAATGAATTTACCGGAAATATTCAAATATTTAAAAGAAATTAAAGATATTTCTCTTGATGTGGAATCAAAGCATGAGGTAGGACATGTGTTACATGCTGTGAAAAATTTGAATTTACTCAACCTGAAAATTTGAGCAAATATTTTTCCAGAATTCAATAGAGTAAATATAGAAATTCAAAAGGAATTCCTCTTCCGCGTTCTGAGTAGTTAACGAAAGAACTGACCAAAACTGAGGAAAAGCCAGTTATAAAAAATGAGAGAAAAATCCTATGGAATATTGGATACAAAAGTCTAAAATAGTAGCCGAAAAAATTGCAGTTGAGTCTATTCTGACAAATAAAGAATTCAAAAGCACAAAAAGCACTCTGATGAACTGTTTGAGGACGAATCACGAACACTTCAACCTGTTCAGATCAAAGTTTCAGCAAATTAAAACATATTAAAAAATATCCACGATCATCGGTGAGCAAGAGCGTTTATCAAGTCTCGTGATTCTGGCAACCGAAAATCAAATCGCTGATCAAATTATGACGATTCCATGCACTTATTTGCAGAACAAAAGGCTTACAGTGTAAAATTTAAATTTTCGTTAGTAATTCCGTGATATTTTAATAGCATTAAGGCAGGTAAGAAATTACTTATGAAATAGGAAGTATGAAAAACAAGACAGGAAGCACGAATACTCTCAGTAATAGCCCATATTCTGTATAATCGTTTTAGAATACTTCCTTTCGGCAATAGCCCATATTTTGTATGCAATGGTTCTATTAGTGGCTGAGCAATAAAAGCCGCTGAGCACTAGTAGTTCGGTCCGAGGGTCAAGTATAGGTGAATGGGCTGGCTGTATGAGTATTTCCATGATTTTCCCTGTGTGTAACATAGATACAAGCCAGTTTTCCTTACGAAGTTTTTTCCATGGGATATTCCTCCTTTTCCATGCAGAGCCTAATGGCGAAGCACATAGTAAATAATCAGACAAATGTCCTCAGCAGTGGTCGAGTGATTAAGATCGCTGTATACTGGTAGTTCGACCTTGCCTGGGTTCAGACCCAGGCGAACGGGCTGCTACATGGTTTGTTTTCGTGGATTTCCTCATGTGTAACGTGAATATGAGTCAGTTTCCTTTAAAAAGTTCCTCCACGAGAGCACCTTTTTTCTAAGCAGATACCAGTCAGTCTCCTTAAATTTTTTTCCACAAGGCATTCCTCCCTTTCCATGCATTGCCTAATGGCGAAACACTTAGTAAATAATCAAACAAATGTCCTGAGCAGTGGCCGAGTAATTAAGACCGCTGAATACTGGTAGTTCGACCTTGCCTGGGTTCAAACCCAGGCGAACAGGCTGGCTGCATGCTTTCTCTTTATGGATTTCCTCATGTGTAATGTGAATACAAGCCAGTTTCCTTTAAAAAGTTCTTCCACGAAAGTGTCTCTTTTCTAAGCAGGTAGCCCTCTTGTCTTTGCCATATTCATATAATCTAACCCAACCTAATTTAACCAGTAATGCAATAATACAAAATAGTGAGAAGCTTAGGGGTTGCCCGTTGTTTCTAGAACAAGTAAGCTCACCAGAAAGATGATTCTCCTAGGGAGAGGATGAATTTATAATTATGTAACTTCGTTGCGTTTTTTTTTTCCTTTATAGTAAAAAAAAGGGGGGCACGTTAAGAATTTAATATAAAATGGAGCTTAGGTTTTTACCTCAAACTCTATCTATTTCTGTATTAAAGAAATTAAAACTTTTTAGAGAAACTTAAAGGATGATGAGTTAGGGCGTCAGTTTTAGCTTTTGCCCCACATCAGAAAAATAAAAGATCTGGTGCTGGTGATAAAGGAAACAACAGCTTCGCGATAATACAAGGGGTACCTTTCAGTCTACTCTAACCGAGAATCCCTGCTCGAATGGTAAAACTAGTAAGAAAAGGGGGAAATACATGAGTAAAATATGGTAACTCTTAAATTTTGTGATGCAGGTCCTTGGAGATAAATCAAGGAAGTTAAATTGCATCATTTAATAAACTTATTGATTAATGATTTTTCAAATAAAAATTCAGTTTGTTAATTAATTGAGAGAAATATAATGAACGTACCATAAAGGAGAATGGCAGGTGTTTGGCAAAATATACATATCTTGAAAAATATTCTCTGATTTAATCACTGTTTTGGAAGTTATTATAAACAACAACAAATTAAGGCAATATATCAACTAATAACTGTATACAACTAATAACTATGTGAATTATTTTCTTTATTTTTAAAAAAAGTAATAAAAATATGTGTTTTTTTTTTTTTTTTTTTTTTTTTTTTTTTTTTTTTTTTTTTTTATTTTTTTTTTTTTTTTTTTTTTTTTTTTTTTTTTTTTTTTTTTTTTTTTTTTTTTTTTTTTTTTTTTTTTTTTTTTTTTGTTGTGTGTAAGTCGTCTTCTTAGGATGAACTGTTTCTGAAAAGTATTGATGAAGATCTTGACTTTGCTTTTGCACTATCCTTACAAGCAGCTTATGATGAGGATATAAATGAAAATAGTATAAAACAAGAATCTGCATCAAATGTATGTTATAGATGCTTTTAAAAAATCTCTATATGTATTAAATGAGTTTTATTATGTTTTTATTATTACAACCCATATATGTTTTTTTTATTATTGTTAACTATGTAAAAGTTGTAGTCTATATAAACTCAAGAACTCAATTTATAAATTAATATATTTTTAAATATTAAATAGCAGTAATTAAGACAAAATATAATAAATGTATGAAGAGTTAAATTATTTTTGCTACATATTAAAAGTATTTTGATTTACGGAAGAGTACTTTTTTTGATTTTGCAAAGTCTAACATGAATAATGTCCTTTTTAAAATAGTGTAAAGTATGTATTGGCATAATGCTTATTACAAATAACAATTTTTTTTTTAAAACAAAATTATCCCAATTTTATTTCCGTGCAATACATTGAGAATTTGTATTTTACTGGTTTCTTTTCTTACACATATTTGGTTCTAGATTTCTTACTTTTTGTCTATAATTGGTATAATTGGTAACTCTGCAATATTTTCAAAACAAAGAAAATTTTGGAAAAATTCGCTGATATTATAGTTAATTTATATCTAAACTCTTGCTTGATTGGGACTGGAAGGTATGTGAACATTCCACGTGAAATTTCATTCATTTTACTCAAAATTTTATATTATGTTTTTCATTATTACATGTTTTAAGATTCCCTATAAGAAATCTTTATAGCACTGATTATGTAATAAATGATTTTTATTTCTGTTGGCTGACTGAAGAGAGTCTTTCTATGAGACTGCTGTCTCCTGAAAGAGACATAACTTTTGGTTGATTCTATGTTCTGCAGCGTATACTGATTTTGTTTTAAACTAAAAAATTTATCCTAGTTTTTTTTGGTATTTTTCTGTTTTCACTGCTTAGTGTCAAACATAAAACATTGGCCGGAAAATCTTACTAGGTAGTGGCAATCCTAATGATACATAAAGCTTCAAGAAATCCAGAATAAATACAAAACATAAAGGCAAATAAATAAATTTATAAATAGATTTTACCATATTAATTTCAAATTAGAAAAGCAGCATAGAATTAATTTCATTTAATATCGAAAACATTTACATATTTTCATGCAATTGTCATTACATAAATTAGATAACGTAGGATTCATGAAAGTGGTAGCTAGAATTGTAGTGGTGTTCATTTTGCAATTTTCCACATAATGGCATCCTGTATCAGGATTGATGACATTGTATTTGTGGGTAACTTCATATCTGGAAGCTGCTAGTTGACCTGCTTAACCCTTTGAGCAGCCAAGGTTTTCGCTAAGAAAGCACAAATTTCCCAAAACTACTATGAGAACAAATTATTTTTTTTATTTTAATGTAAAAACTCTCCTGGTATTTCATACCTGGATTTGTGTACTTTTGATATATTGCCTTAATTTCTTTGACATATTTTAGTATGTATGTACATGTACATTCTTACAGATATTACAAAAAATATTCTAGGCTATATATATACGCCCTTGCCGCTTAGAGGGTTAAGCTGCTGAAAATGTAGGAGAGAATCTCTAGATGATATTTATTCTTACTGCTTGTTCATAAAAACATCATTGCACAGCAATTCATGATTCAGACTGTTGTATAAACACACTGCTGTATTTGACAATTGACATCCCATTCACATAAAATTACTTTCCCCCTCTCTAGTTTTATTTATTTATTTATTTTTATTTATTGCTGTTCACTATATGTTTTGCTTAGCAATTCTCCATTAGCTGTATCGCACTGGCTGATTTTATAAAAGTTACTACAATGTTGGATCTTGCTTTATGATACTAATTTCTTCACAATAATACTATACACACAAAAAAAGGGGGGACACATGGTAAAGAAATATTTTTAAATTAAAAAAGTAGCACAAAGCTTTGATTATAAACAAATTAATTTCTTCTTAAAGTTTGTTCTTCAAATATTTGTAAGATATGTGAGCAGGTGTTAATACTAGAATCGTGTTTCATAATAATACTGAAATCAGCAGGTGCAGAAAATGATTAAATTTTCAGTATTTGCTGTCACAACCAAAAATGCAATTCTATTAATCATGTTAAAAACTGTAATTTTGTATTCAAATGTAAAGAGAGTGTCCACTAGGAACTGAATACTAGTTATTCAGCACTGGTATTTCAATCCAGGTTTAAATCCTGGCCAATATGTGTGGCTGCATGTGAATTTTTATAGTTTCTCCAAGTGCAACATATATACGAGTCAGTTTTCTTTAAAATGTCTTCCACAAAAACACCATCCTCTTGGTGAATAATAACACAACCTCTTGGTGGTTGTGTGTAACCAAGAGAAATCTTGGTGGTTACACACAACCATAACCTATCCCCTTTAAAAAAAAGAAAGTAACTTAGAAGGAAAATTTAAATTATAATCAGTGACAATAAAGTGTATGGGGGAGTTAACAAAAATGTGTGTAGTATAAAGTTAAAGATCCAGAACTGTCACCACTTTGGTGATTCCAGATTTTAGAAATTTTGAATTTTAGATCAACAGTTTAAATCTACTTAAATGACATGTAAACATAGGGCAACATTTGAGTGTCACTTATTGTTTGGATCAGGTAGAAGAGTGGTAACCCCCATACCCATTTAGGGGCTGAAATTATGATCCTTGGCAACATCAATACAATGCCAATCAGTGTACTGTCATTGGCCATGGCCAAAAACTCTCTAACCAGGTGTTTGACATGCGTCAATTGTAGTTAGTTAGGAGAAAAATTGTATTTATGACATACATGCTTACTTTAATTTAGTATTACATTAACTATTCTTAGACTTGGTAAGTGAAGAAGGGGGATTTTTTTGCATCTATATTTTGGCTGATGATCTAGAAGTCTGGATATTGGAGTGTCTTTTTTTCTTTACTTATTAAATTAGAAATCTTCATAGAATCACAGAGCTAGCTTGCTAATTCTATGATATAATACCTTAATTGGTACTATATATGTAGTACGTGTAAAATAAATAATTTTTTGCAGTATAAATAACCCTTTTTTTTCTTCTATAAAAAATCTCTAAACTGCATTGAGATTGTTGCGCTGGTACACTATTACTAAAAAATCCACGATTTCTCCGTGTGTGAGAAATGATGAAACTTAAGCTAACTAGTACTGGAGAGTGATCAAAATATTTCTGGAAAACCTTAATTGACACTGTAAGAAAACAAAAAATTATATTAATTTACAAATTAGTTAATGCAATCTTCAGCCAATACTACTCAGCCCATGTTTTATATCAAGTTTTAAAAAAGATGCATTATGGTTGTAGCTATTTAACATATTTTACTATTAATTTTTTATTAGCTTATGATAATATTGTGCATTTTTCTAAATATCTTTCAGTCTCCTAGTGGAAGTAGTGCAAAACCTTTATCAATTGTGGATGAACAATGGGAGCTAATAGATCCAAATCCTGATATACACAGCCTGTTTTTACAGTATGATGCCAAATTTTTTTATGGCAAACTTCAAGCTGTTGAAGTAAAATGGAGCCCACGTATGACACAGTAAATATATATATATATATTTTTTTTTAAATGAAATTACAGATGTTGTATGTGGTAGGTGCTGCTCAGTATGATCGTGTTTGTCCATGGCTATTTTGATAACATATCTTAGTTAAAGATTAGGAAGAACATTCTTCAAATTAGAAATAGAATTTAATAATATAAGTATAATTAAAAAATATTAATAAGTACTTTGAAACATTTTAATTAGGAAAGTTTATTTATGAACTGTTTGCTCACAATGTTTCTGGAAATTATTTGCCCCTAACCTTAATACTTCGAGGACATCCTTCATGAAAAGAACTTACTTGCTAGTGTAAAATTTAAAATTAGGCAAAAAAGCAACATTAGTAGATGTTTTCAAGAATTTTTTTTTTAGAAGGGAGAAAAATTCTGCAGTTTTTTTTTTTTTTTTTTTTTTTCCCCTCCTGAAGAACAACCTAGGTCTGATCACTGTTAAAATCAATGAAATTATTTAAAATTTACACTAAACTAATGTTGCTTTTTTGTCTGATTTTAAATGGCTGACCAAAATTCAAACCAAGCTGTTTGGCTACTTGGTGACTTTTTTGGGTGCACTTGGCAATTTTTATAACCTATTTTGACATCATTTGGTGACTAACTTCAGTTTTAAACAAATTTATTCTGTATTTGGTGACTAACTTCAGTTTTAAACAAATTTATTCTATATTACTTTGATTGTATTAACCAAATTGCTCATTGCAACAAGTGATGTATTTTCCATGTTTTCAGGTACAAACAGTCAAGACTTTGGTAATACGAAAACTATACTTGAATGATAACATTAACGATGATCGCAATAAGCTCCTGCTACTGTAAATGCATAAATGTTTTTCCAAATAAGAATGCTAGTTAGATCACAGTTTCCCTTTCATCTGTATTTTGTCCATGAATGTTGAATAATAATGCTTTGAATAGCATCCCAGGTAGAGGGTAGTGAAAATTTGGGTTAATCTTTGGATTATGGTAACTTCGCGATTTTTTGGCGAAAATTTGGCGACCAACCCTGCTACAGCAACCTGCTAGCTTTTTTTTGGATGCCATTTTGTTTTCACGAAGCAAAGGCTTTTTTTTTTTTTTTTTTACTCAACATTTTTTTCCAATAATCTGCTAGCCGAATTACACTTATGCTAGAACTTTTATGGAACAAAAGTGCTTAATCATGACGAAGATTAGGTGCGAAATTGGGAGAATGTGCAGAATCGCAAACTGCTTGCCACGTTTTTAAGAATTGCACATACACGGTATCCATGTACACGTCGACCTATTTTCACTTGAAAAAAATATCCCAGAATTGCACAAAAATGGCATTGATGGGATACTTGAAATGACAAAAATGATGGGATCCTCGAGTTTCTAAGCAAGAAGTGAAAAATAAGCATTTTGAAATTCATTTTGTCTAATAAAGAACTCTTAAAAACTTTTGGCTTTTGGGGATGTGAATTCTTTTATTAAATGGTTCTAAATTTGGCAATTTTAAGATCAGTTTCTATAGGAACTTTGTAATTCTGAGATCTGAGCATTTTTCGATGATTTTATTTAAAACATCATAACATTGATAAACTTGATTCAGAAGTCAAACAACAAAAATCAGCGTTAATTCACAAAATTTTCGGTTTCGCAGCTGAAGATGATGGTTCGGTAAAACCATCGAAACTAGTCCTGTGAAAATTTTGTGAATTAACGCTGATTTTTGTTGTTTGACTTCTGAATCAGTATTTATTCGGCGTGTTATTGTGTCTTAATTGATAAACTTCATTAAAATAATGGTAATATATTGAAATTATATTTAAAAAATAACATTAAAATAAAACATTTTTATTTTTCTCTGTCATATGATAAAGTTTCATTTTGGCAACTTATTAAATATTTTAAATCTGAAAAATAAACAGCGTATAATGCTATAAAGCACAATTTACGAAACAGCTCTTAGCAAAAGCAAAATTAGCTATGTAATTAATTAAAAAGTCTTCTTTTTAATTTTTTCATAGTAAGAGAACAATGTAATTGTCTCAGAATATTCAAAATTCTCAGAATGTGCATGAGTTTTCTCTATAAAATTAATTTTATGCTTTTTCCCTCCATTTTTTTCCAAAATATTTCTGGCTTTTTGCTCTTACAGAAATGGTAGGGATAATTTTTCTTTAGGATTTTAGACATTGCAGCTTGGAAAGTTTAGAAGGATTTGAAGGCAAGATTTATAGACCCACAATTCTAAAAGATTCGAGAAATATGTGACGAAATGAAAAATGTCTCCATAGTATCAACACGTAATGGATGTATTTTACAGAAAGTTTGCAATGAATTTCTTACGTTTCGGAGAACGTCTGAAAGAACAATGAAAACTTAATACATATTTACATGTTTTACTTCTGATACTAGAATTTTAACATGTTTATCGTCTCTGCTTTTCACTAGACACAAGCGTGGAAAATATCAAAAATGCTTCTACTCTTATCACATGGCCAGGCATTATAGAAAAGGATTTTTTATTAAAAAAGAAATTGAAAACTTACAATTTAAAAGATTCATCTAATATATTTTAATGCATCATACACAGAGCTGGCACTAGACATTTTCCCACCTGATGCAATCTCTGTGGATCTTAAAATTCTGGTGCCTAGTGCTTTGCTAAATTCTGCTTCCAATGCTTGCTCTAAATTCTAAAAGTTTTGCCATTTCTAGATTTTGTTGTTCGGCGTGTCCCTAAATTCTAAAAATTCCGCCACACCAGCTCTGCAACCGGCCCTCACCATATATAATATTTCATATTTCTTCTGAATGTTCATATTACTAAAGAAATAAAATCAGCCACTCTTTGTATACATTCTAAATGCATTTAGTGTTTTTAGAATAACAGAAATCCTTAATAAATCCAAAAATTCTAAAATGGAAAGGAAACATGTTGAAGAAAAAAACTAAATTCATAAAGAAAATTATTCATCAAAGATATGTGCAGTTATTATTTTGTAAATTACCCACTTGTTTATGATTTCAGCCTTTACTATAATTTCCCATTTCTGTTTTCTCATATAATAGACACTGAGCCAGATTAAATTAAAATTAAATTGTATAATCTTTGACCACTAGTCCACCTTTTTAGTTTGAACTTAACTTTTTCTTGTTTAATTATGTTACCGTGACCTGTAATTGATTTTGTTAGCATCAGAACAAGCCTTTATGTTCTAAGTTCTTTTTAATTAAGAGGCTTATTTAAGCCTTTGTATGATATTATAGTTACTTTCAGCCATATCAATAAACATTTTGGACTATTTAACTTTTACCAGATCAAGTAAACCCTCATAGGTACATTGTGAAGAGGTTGACAAGTTAGGAGATAAAGCACGCAGAAACTAGCGAGAGCATTGGTTTGCATATTGAGACAAATTGTTAGAAGAGATGCTTAAAAGAAGGAAATCGATATAAAATAGCCAAAATGTTTGGGATGGCTTCAAATTAAAATGACGGATAAATATTTTGTTGAGTGTTGTTGTAGCTTTTAATGTGTATCCTAATATCGTTTAAGAATCAATTAGATTAATTTATTAGATTTTGATTTTAATAGGGCTTTTTTTAACAAATATTGTTAAAAAATAAAATTAAATAGTGGTCATGTAAATACATAATGACTAAGGTTATCAAACTACCTAATTTAATTATTTATAACTAACTGTTTACCCTTAAAAATTATCTCTACATATTAAAGTGAGTTATAGCCTTTCATCAATCCTCACTGTGGTCACAAGATAAAACACAAAAATGTAAAAATTCAAGTTAAACTTATTCTTTGCATCTACTAAGACTTAAAATAATGCAAAACAACTTATCACCTCTGGTGCTTTAATGGCTTATTGGAACCTTTAAAGTATATTAACTGGGTTACGAAACCCCTGGAACTCTGCATGAAGCTATGACACTAACTGCATCAAACAGAGCCTGACTAACTTTCAACGCTTGCCATCCGTGCCTTACAACAGGCCTTTCAAGTTTGTTCTAATCAGCAGGTTTCTCTCTAGACAAGCAGCAGCGGTGACAACATTCTGTCTTTTGTTATGAATCATGCTGATTATGATCTTACTTCTCATTTTAACCTAAACCGTTTGATATAAAATCTGCCTGCTATTTACTAAATGTCTAGTCTGACGAAGTATGTGACAAAATGAGACGTAAAAAAAAATCAACATAAAGCTGTTAGTAAAACATAAATGCCACTTATCTTCTTTTAAATATGATTAACTATTATAAGTGTAAAATATTTAATGCTACTTGATAAATTGCATAAAGTTTATTTTATTTTCAAACTGATTAATAATTATGTTAATTAATTCATGTTTAGTAATAATGCATACTATTTACGGATTCATTTTATTTTTAGGATGGTATTACAAAAATGAAATTCAGGCATAGATAATATTTTTAATTGAATTTATTCAGTTCCCATTTGCTCATAGGTCCTTAATTTTTTTCATTAATGGTCCTTAAAAGTACTTAATTTCCGTGTGCAGAAATGTGTACGAACCCTGATAATTGTAATGTTTTAGTTGTGTGTTAATAGTTTATATTCAACAATGAACTCCTTTATAAGCAGTATTTTCTTGAAATATGTGATTTTCCCGTGGCATTTGTTTCAGATATAGTGCTCTTATAACTTAATAACATGATTTAATAGAATCAATTATCATAGCAGTTCAGTCTTCAGGAGTAATGATTGTTATTTTAAATAATTATGGAATGCTAGTTTTTCATGTGTTTTGTAATGTACATCGAATAATATATACATACACATTACAAATCAGCTGTGTTGAAATAAGATGGTATTTGTACACTACGTGTATATTTGCAAAAATAGTATTTGTTTCTGGACTATAACTATGAAATGACAAAGTTAGCACAAAAGACCCTTTTAATGTTGCTTGGGATGGTAAGATTAAAAATTTATTTAAATTTAGTATGTGTCATATTTCCACCCAAGCCACTGA